CCTCAAACTCTTGGGCTTAAGCGATTCTCTTGCCTCAGCCTCCCAAGTAGCTGGGACTACAGGCACCCGTCACAATGCCCAGCTATTTTTTGGTTTCAGTTGTCATTGTTGATTTTAGCTGGCCCTGGCTGGGTTTGAAGCCACCAAGCCTTGGTGTATGTGGCCGACGCCCTACCCACTGAGCTACAAGTGCCACCCTATTTTTTTATTTTTTGAGGCACAGTCTTATTCTGTTGCTCTGTTGTGGCATCATAGCTCACAGTAACCTTGAGTTCGAGCAGTACTCTTGCCTCAGCCTCCCAAGTAGCTGGGACTACAACACCAATCATGATGCCTGGCTATTTTTCTGTTTTTAGTAGAGACAGGGTCTCGCTCTTGCTGAGGCTAGTCTTGAACTCCTGAGCTCAAGCAATTCACCCAATTCAGCCTCCCAGAATGGTGAGATTACAAGTGTGGGATACCATGCCTGGCCTCTTTCTCTTTTTTCCCGGATACAAAATTCTTTTTTTTTTTTTTTGAGACAGAGTCTCAATTTGTCACCCTCAGTAGAGTGCTGTGGCATTATAGCTCACAGCAACCTCCAACTCTTGGGCTCAAGCAATTCTCTTCCCTCAGCCTCCCAAGTAGCTGAGATTACAGGCACCTATCACAACACCCAACTATTTGTAGAGACGGGGTCTTCCTCTTGCTCTTGCTCAGGCTGGTCTTGAAGCTGTGAGCTCAGGCAATCCACCTGCCTCAGCCTCCCAGAGTGCTAGGATTACAAGCATGAGCCACCTCACCGGGCCTAAGTCAGGAATTTTAATACCTTTGACCAGGTTTTGTTTCATTTTTGCTTTTATTTATTTATTTGTTTATTTATTTATTTTTTTGAAACAGAGTCTCACTATGTCACCCTTGGTAGAGGGCTGTGGTATCACAGTTCACAGCAACCTCAAACTCTTGGGCTTAAGCGATTCTCTTGCCTCAGCCTCCCAAGTAGCTGGGACTACAGGCACCCGTCACAATGC